CCGCTTGAGGTGGTCTCCCCCGCATCCATCTCCTCCACGCTGCGGCTGCTCCGCTGAGAGAGGCCGCCCGACCCTCCCAGGCGGTCGTCCTCGGCCACTCGCTTGCTCACCACCACCGCGGTGGGGATGTGCTGACAATTAAGACTCATCTTCCGTGGAGAAGGGGGAATCAACGACCCCTTCTCGAGCGTTTCTCCAGGGTTTGAGGCCCTCACATCGGTGTTTTCGTCCGACCCGGGCGCCTTGGAAGGCGAGGAAACGTCACCCGGCGAGACGTCCTGTGGGGTGGCATCGGCAGAGGGAGCCCCTCCAAAGGGGATTCCCACCCCACGGCTTGGCGGCAATGGGTTCCCATCCTTGTCGACGGCGTAGGCCTCCATCATCTCCATCTGCTTGATGGTGAGGCCCTGACGGAGGGCCTGGACGCACCGCGCAAAGTAGTTCTCAACGGACGACGCGAAAAACTCGTATTTCTCCTTCGTTTCGCAGACATTTGTGCCACCCAGGGCGACGGGCAAGACGTCCACATCGAGGCGCTCGAGGAGTTTCCCGTTGCGAATGTTTCGTCCGGAAAAAATGAAAATCCCACTCGCCAAGGCCTCCGGGAGGTGCCTCACCAGCGGCTGCACCACAAAGGTGAGGGCGGAGTTCATGTGGCAGACATACAGCCGCGCGACCGTACCGGGGTAAAACTTGCTCACCCGGAAGGCCATATCTTTTTGGAAGATTAAATCCGTATTTCGCATCAGCGAGGCGTCCTTTTGGTTAATCAGCCACGTCACCTGCGAAAGGGGGTTAAGGGGGTCGCAACGCAACGCCCAGCTGAGGAACATATCCAAGTTCGCCTGCATCTCCGGCCGCCGCGCGACGTTGGTTTTGTTAAGCACCATGTTGAAGTAGAGAACGGGCCTGCCTTCCTTATCACGGCCGATGTACTGCACCCCACCACTCCGCATCGACTCCTTAATGAATGGCGTCACCTCGTAGTTCAGGAACACCGTCCGCTCCATCTCATCCCGACGGCGCAACTTCGCGATCGTCTCCTGAACATCAAAGTTCTTATTTTTGAAGAAAAGATAAATCCAATTATCGAGATAGTGATGGTAGATCCCTAAAGCCTGCTTTACCGCCTCAAGCCCCTCTTGGTATTCGGGAGGGCATTCAAATGCATGCATAATCCTATAAATACTAAGTGATTGGTCAAACTATCAAAAGGGGCAAACCACACACGCGTGATCAAAGTTGGGTAAACGCATGTAGAATCAATCACCATCTATAGTAGGAAGTATTTTCTGACAGAAAACGACATAGTTGAGGGTTCACAGAGCGCACCAAAACGCATCTGCAGACCAAAATGTGAAGCACCCAGACGCACAAACAAACACACCCATCCCAACCAAACGAATAGCGAAGCTCGCGACCGCAGAGCGAGGAGTGGTGAATAAGAGGACTCGCGCGTTTCAACCATCGCATCGGCGAGATCGTCGGTAGATAGCGCGCTAAACCACCCGTGAAAGAGAGGCTCTGCCGGTCGCGAGGCTCGCCACGACGCGTTGAACCGCACCTCCTGAAAAAGGCACGGCGCGTAGCGCGGCGTCATCGATCGATTCCAATGCAGACGAAAACCGCTCCTTGACGACGCGCCTGAGATCCCATCCCAGAAAAGCGAGTGAGCTGAAGCAGTAGCCGAGACCTGCCGAGAAGTGTGCACCGGCCTCCTCTCCGCACCTCCCCTTTAATCCATCGATGCGACTAAGGAGTGCCCTAGTAAGACGCCTTTCTACCTACCCCTCGTATAAGCGCAAGGGAAGACGCACAAAAGAACGAACGAAAGGAAACCAAAGAAAACGACAGGAAAACAAATCATGCAAACAATCCCCCCCCTCCTCTCCTCATGTGCACACGCACCATACCCCCTCATCCGGGCTATTGCAGACCCTTGATTTCAAGGATAAATAATAATAAAAAATACTAAAAGTAACGTACGTGTATGCGAAAAGAAAATAAATCGAAAAGGTAACGAACCATTAACCAAACACGTCAATATCCTCTCTCCTGCGTTACAACACCCACACATAGACCTCCCCCCCTCCCCCACCCCCTCAAAAATACATATATATATATATATATATATATATATAA